AATACCTAAAGACAAAGTTAGGAGATTTCTTTTTAATTAACATAATCTACATCAAACAGAATTAGTTATATCTATTAGCAAGATGGGGTTAAGGAAGGTACTGTACCTTTAGAAGGTATCTCAACTTTGAGGCTTTGAGTTACTGGCACCTTGGGATTACAGTCGTCTTCCTTATCCATGGCTTAGCTTTCAGCAGTTTCAGATCCCCACAATCACCCGAAGTCCAAAAATACTGCACAGTACAATAAGGCATTTTGAAAGCAAGAGACTATACTCACATGATTTTATTACAGCATACTGTTATAATTGTTCTATTTTATTATTAGTTATTGTTGCTCTGTTACTGTGCCTCAGCACGTTAAACGTTATCCCAGGTGTGTATTAAAGGGTGTAGTATACACAGGGCTCAGTACTCTCCATGGTCAGGCATCCACTAGGCATCTTGGAACATTCCCCATGGATACAGGGGAACTGCAGTATGTAGCACCCATTTCTAAGAATAATCTTGACAGGAATGAGATAAGCAAGGGGGGTGACATAATGGCAGGGACTTGGGTGGAGAGATGTTCAGGAAGTAGAGACAAGATAGAACCAAGACAGAATCTCTGTCTCCTGCACATTTTGCCAAGGCCTGACACACTGCCACATGCCCACTGAGTGGAGTTGGCCTGGCCTGGCTTTGCATGGCAACACCCCACAGTGTCTTCGAAGGCAGTGAGACTCCAAAGCCTGGCCACCTTGCTCATTGTTTGCAGGAGATTTCATTGTAGCCCAGCTCCTTGGAGTTACTCATCCAATTTTAGAGTGCACAGGACAATGGCTGCTGTGCACCTCTAGGCTGTGCATTTCCTGAGAGTGGGCCTGGCCTTCAGCAGCCTGTAGTCCATGTCGGGTAGATTAGAGGATGAAAGACCCAGGATGCTTATGACTTGATGTCATCCAGAGGCATGAAACTCAGGAGCCCAGGGTAGGGAGAGCAGGAATGGTGGGGCTGGACACAGGACAGGTAGAATGATTTGAGTGAGGACCAGGACTAGGCTGACTGCCATGCCCATGCCCTGTCTAAAGGCTTTCAGCCTCAAAGAAAAACTAACCTGTGAGCATGCCTGGATGGGTGAACTTTCCCACCACTGGGGTACACAACACAGTTCCAGTCTATGGCTAGCTGGCTCCAAGGCAAGAACATCATTGGCAGAAAGGCCTAATGGATGAAGGCTCAGCCCAGAAAGCAGGCAGCAAGGGAAGAGTCCAAGAGGAAGGGTTCAGAGATGAGGTCCAGGCCCCAAGATCACACCCCATGACTCACCCACTGGAAGCGTACGGTGTAATCTCCTAATGTCTCTCTAGCCAATCAAGTTGACAATCAAGACAACTGTCTCATTGCCAGAGAACACTTTAGAGTCGAATGTAGTGCAACAGATGCCAGTTGCACCTAGTGACTAGGGAGTCATTATGGTGGTGTTAGAGAAACTATTGTCACCCCCCCTCAAAGTGTCCGTATCCTTATCCTCAAATCTATGAAACTGTAACCTCATATGACTAAGGGGACTTTGCAGCTGTGAATTAGGGTACCGATTTAATAAATTGACATATACACGCAGTATTTGGAGCAGTGTCAGTACATTATAAGCATTGAATCAGCATTAGCTTTTAAATTATTATTTGCTATTTGTGGAGAAGAGAACATGGGCCTAGTAGGGTTTACCTTGTCCAAGGTGAGTAGTTTCAGAGGAGACAGGACTAGGCCCAGATCCCCAAACTCCTGAGGTCCTAGGTGATTTGTCATTCCAATGTTACAATGTCATATTCTCACTGAATCTCATTTTTCAAGTTAAAACAACTAATTATAGCACATGCCCTTCTAGAGGGCTTAGCTACATTTCAAAACTATGATTAACCTCAGTTTTCAGACCCTTGAAAGAAAAAGGAAAAATAAATGGAAGGTCTTATTTGAAATCCTGTGCATTTGACTGTGAGATAGCCTAGTTAATAACACACTTGTCTCTGGTCAGACATAGCCCTCTCACTCATAGTTTTGTTCTCCCCATATGTGACCCAAACTGTTACTGGATTCTGGGGTTCTGTAGACTTTCCAGGTCCTTGGTGTCCTGAACAAAGAATTGGACAAGACTCAAGAAAGGTAGTGAGGTTTTTTTTATTAAAGGTAAGAAAAGAAGTACACTCTGCAAAGTAAGAGCGAGGTTAATAGCTGAAGTCTTTTGTTTCCCCCATTCCTCAGGCTGCTGTCAGATCTAGACTGTCTTATCACAAACCTGCTTGATTTCATGCCAGAAGAATTGAAGATAGCACTTTCTGATTGATCCCAAGTGCAGGGCTTGGGAACTGTGCTCTGCGCATGTGTCCTGGATTTCTGTGATTGACAGGTCCTGCCCACTTGTTCAACTGGTTTGCCACACCCTAATCTCCTGCCTCAAAGCCATCCCATAAAGGTAGCCCTGCATCCCTTATAAAAGAAACAAGTACTCCTAGGGAGAGTAAACTGGAAGATGAGAAAGCGTATCTAAGAAGATAATTCAGAGGACTTGTGAACTGCATTCCAAACCTAAGACATCACACTGCTCCATGGTAGAATCTCCAGCTTCCTCTTGCAGTGTGAGAGTGTTATTTCTACTGTGAGTTTCCAGATACACAGCTGCCCTTTGTCATTGGAGATCAGGAATGCTTTAATTGGGTTGTAAATGAAAAACAAACTCTGTTTTCTCTCTACTCAGCATAGCACGCTTTTCTGGCCGGATGTGTGGGTTTCTCCCCACACACCCAGGGGTTCTCCAGAGACACTGACTGGGTGTCCCATGATTCTTTAACCTATAGGTTTAAGGGCTCAGTCCCACAGGGCTACCATTTTCAAGTAGGAGGTTGTTGCCTGTACTTTGGAGCATCTGGCTATAAATCTGGGTACCAATAACACTGAGTTTGATTGATTTGCTCCGGTGGCTCAGGGAATCACTTTGTTTATTATCAGTTTATTATCAGGATATTGTAAAGGACACAGATAAAAAGCTAGATAAAGAAGTGGGTAGAAAAAGGAAGTGGGCAGAATTTCCATACCTTCTAGGCATCCTACCCTCCCACCACCTCCAGGTGTTCTGCAACCAGGAAACTCATCAAATTTCATTGTTCAAGCTGGACATGGTGGCAGAAGCTTGTGATTCTAGCACTCTGGAAGGCTGAGGCAGGAGGATCACCAAGTCAAGCCCAGGCTTAGCCACTTAGCAAGACCTTGTGTCAAAATTAAAAATTAAAAAGGGGCTGGGGATGTTGATCAGGGCAAAGGCCCTCAACTCTCAGTACCTCAAAAAACAGAAAAGAATTTGTATGACCAGGTGGTCCGGTCTGTTCCAATAACCAGCCCTGTCACCAGTCTCTCCAGGTATCCCACCCCAGCTCATCTCTAGCAGAAGCACACATACTTTGGGAATCAAAAGGACCCATGAGGAAAGCAAAATCACTCCTGTGACTCAGGAAATTCCAAGGGTTCTGGGTGCTTTGTGATGGCTACCAGGGACAAAGACCAAGTTATTTCATATTGTACCACAGAGCCATTTGGAAGGGAAAAGGAATAATAAATGCCAAAATGTTCTTACAAACATAGTAAAAAAAAACCTTTAGAATAAAATGTCCAACCATTTCAAGGTGCTACAGATTTTACAAATGACAACAACCGTTAAATTTGAAGTAGTTGGAGACTTCGTGGACTTTATATTTTCACTTGTCAACCTACATAAACTCAGAGAGAAATTCTCCTGAGAATAATGACACTTATGAAGATTACATAAAGTAAATTTTAAAACAAGAACTCTCTGTTTGCACAGTTGTCTGTGAATTGTTCTTACTATCGGGCATACATGCATGAAATCCTCTTCTCCATGACATCCAGGCTTTATTTATTAATTTAATGATCTGTGGTTGGGGTCTGACAAAGTGACCTCATTTGGATTCTGGCAATGTTCTCACATTCTAGCATCTCCCTTCGGATTCCATGATGTGAACCCCTTGCCAACCGAAGATGTGGGCTGGGGATATCTGGGGAGGGATGACAACTCCCACAACTCTGAGACCCTCTTTGCCCCTGAGGTCTCAGTGGAGGACTCCAAATGCTTCCCATTCCTACCAGAATGTTTTCTTTCACACACACCTGGCCCCAGTGGGTAAAGCAGGAATGCTAAATAATTTGAATGATTGTAGGCTCATTCAGTGTTCATGCCCAGCCCACTGTTTGGGTTGATGGTCCATGGAACCTTCCACACACGTACAAACACATAGCTCTCCTCTGGGGTGCCATGCCCATTCTCTGGAGGCTTCTGCCATAATGTGCCACCCGCCATTGTCTGTCTCTGCCTCCTGTGTATGCCTTGCTGTGATGCCCACTCACTGTGGCTAAGACACCTGCCAGCAACAGGAGTGGCACTTTTTTGTGCCTGTTCCTTTGTCGCTTGGAGTCTAATAAGGCTCCAGGGGTGATGGGTGGGACAGAAGAAGAGCAGCCATTGTTCTATGCAGACAGACTAGCTCTCTCGCATGTCCCTGGGAGCCTGAGTCGCTTTCTGTTCTGAGTCCACACAGATGTGGCAAGAAGCAGGCTGTCGCCTCAGGAAGGGGTCAAAAGGCAAGAGGCCTCGGTCCTGGAGTGAATGGGCCACAAGGAAAGAAAGGAAGTTCTGTGAAAAGAAGAGTCAGGGCTAAGTTTCGGTCCCCTGGCCTGGGGGCAGTGAGGAGCAGGGCTGGGAGGGGCGGGAGGGGCCGGAGCCAGCGGGGGAGGCAGGCAGAGGTCAGCCCTGCGTGACTTGACGCAGGGTGCCTTGCCTGGGTTGAAATTGAGGAACTGAGGAGGCAGCAGAAGGGAGGCAGTGTCTCGCCACAGGATGGAAGGAGGTCTGCGGCCACCAGCTCTGCCTCATGCATCTCCAAGCACTGAGGAGATTAACGACCCAAGGAGGATGTGATATGGTCCAAAAACTTTTCCTGGATTTTTTCCGTAGGCGGCTGAGCCAGAGGCCCACAGCGGAGGAATTGGAGCAGAGGAACATCCTGAAACGTAAGTGACTCAGCCCCTGGCAGTGCCTGGCTTTGCTAGTTCCTGAGTGGTTGCCCACCAGGCTTCTCCCTGGGCTGCTGGGAGCCCATGGGACAAAGGTGACCTCCCCAGGGTGAAGGCACGTTTCACCCCACTCTGTTGGCTGCAGCCTCGCAGATTCGAGCAGAACCTCCCCTGTATTCAGTTGGGAAGTCAGGGAGAAGCTGAGAAATCCCACTAAATTACTACTAAGTGGCTTTTGAGGAGAGTGTGGGTCACCTTTCAACCAAGGTGGCTTCAAAACGCCAGTAGGGTTTTGCTGGCTAAAAATGAGGGATATGGCCCTTTGAAAGTGGGGATGAGAAAGCACGCATTTCCGTTCCAGCTGGCCGCTGTTGATTAAATTCTCCAGCCCTTTGAAACACTGAGTTTGCGGTCTGAAGCAGCAACTCCCAGCGAAAATGCCCTGTGTCTGTCTGTGCCCAGTGCCGTGCGTGGGACATTCACATTCAGAAAAAACCAGGTGTCACTGAGGCCACTGGCAGAAAAATAAATGAACCCCTGGTTTGGTCCAGGTCACAGAATGTATTTGAATGTATATGGAGAAGCCACTTGGTACTAAAAAATTGGAGTACAAAACACTAAAAGAAATCAACCCTGTTAGTCAGCAAATAATATTTTTCGTTTAATTTATGACCCTTTCTTCTCCAACCCAGAAACATCCTTTTAATTTTTCTCCAAAAAAGAGAAGTGTTTACTACGCAGTTTTCTAGACGTGTTCTACACACGCGCACGCGCAGGCACGCACATACACACGCACAGGCACACACCCCTCTCACATGTGTGACCTTGCTCTGGCTGAATATTTCCACTTCAGCAGACCTGAAATGCTCTGGGTTGCACTTTGCTAGCCTTCTTCCCTCATGACTGGGTCAGCCCTGGACAGTTTGCCAATGGGGGCGTAGAATGTGCTAAGGCTGGAGGCTTCCTGAGCAGCCCCTGCAGGGCGCCTGCCTGCCTCTGTCCCCCTGCCCGGGAGTCCGGCCCTCACCTCCCCACGGCCACTTCCCAAGCGCTGGGTGCAGGCTGTGTATAGGGTGGGTCTTCCTCGGTTCTCAGTGCACCTCCCTCGTCGCCTGGGTGTCTAGGGATGTGTGTGTGTGTGTGCGTGTGTGTGTGTGTGTGTGTGTGTGTGTGTGATTATGCTCATCAGTGAGGACACCTAAGAGTTTCTAAGCATCCAGGCTGTAATCCCTGCAGTCTGGGAGGCTGAGGCAGGAGGATTACCAGTTTTAGCCCAGCCTGGGCAACTTAATGGTTTAGTGAAAGAGACCCTGTCTCAACATTAAAAAAAAAAAGAGGGAGGGTTGGGGGTGTAACTGAGTGCCAACAGCGTGGATTCAATCTCCAGTACCAAGTAAATAAATAAATAGCTTCTAAATTTACTGTGCTGTACAGTGACTGTAGAACTTTTCCAGATATTACTGTGGGCTGAGAAACATTTGGCTGCCTTTACATCCCCCTTTTCAGCCCCAGTCTGAGACCTGGTCCATTGTAAACATTCCATTGTTGGGAAGAAAGGAAGACAGGTGAACCCTGATTTCTATAGTCAGAAATCAGACCATCAGGCTCCCACGCCCCCAACCCGACCCATACCACACACATTGCTCCCCTCCCTCTGTGGCCCCTGAGACTGCCCAGCAAATGCATGCGACTGAACTGGAGCTGGGGGCTTCTGATCCACTGCCTAAGCTCTGAGAGGGGAAAGACCTCTTGGGACTGTTCAGGTTTCAGTCAGATCTCAGCAGTGGCAAGGGTCATCCACAGAGGAGGTCCAAAGTACCCAGCTCACCCTCGGTTTGCCCCAGCCCGGGAGAGCATGGGCAGCGAGACAGGTGACTGGGCTCTTCTCCCTGTGTCTCGTAGCAGAGGGAGTGACCAGGTGATCTCCAAAGATTGTTCCCATGGTTTTCTTTTATTTTCTTCTCTCTTCCTTCTCGTCCTGGTCCGGTAGCTGCAAATTAAAGAACTGCTTGACTAAGTTCAAACAGGTTGATCATTTCCCAGCTTTGAGAGACTGTTCAGAAAACAACATGTATTTGTCCCTATAGGCTCTTATTTTTCTCTGCATTCTGGAGCTCTTTTGTTCTGTTAGTTTTTTTTTTTTAATGTGTGTATTCATCCACTTTGATTTGCTGAACAAGAAATGTCTAGTGGTATAAGAAAATATCCTTAGTTTGTTCTAAAACGTATTCTGAGCCAGGCCCAGTGGCACACACTTGTAACCTGGGCAGTCAAGGCAGGAGACTGGGCTGAGCAACCTACTAACTCAGCAAGCCAGTCTCAAAATAAAGCAAGTGCTAGGGACAGTCCCCAGGGCCAAATAAATAAATAAGTAAATAAGTATAAATAAATAGATCTTATTTTCTGGGTTTTAATTCCCTGGAGGAGCTGCTGGGTCTGGGGATGAGCAGGGTGGGGTCCTGAGAGCAGCTGGCTTGGGGTCCCGCTGTGAGGGTCTAGTTTGGTTTCCAGCCCCACGCTGCCCAGCCCTTCCTTTGTTCTGCAACCAGGGAGACCCTGTGCCCATCTGGGCACATCATGAACACTCCAATGGGGGCCCCTTGTAACAGTGACATCATGGGCCATGCCTGGCTTCTTTCTCACTTGTTTAATGGGTTATCTTGGCACCCTCTGCCGTGAATTCTTGACACCGGGTTTGTACATGTCTTTGTTCTGTTTTATTTTGTCTTTTCTTCCAGCACTGAGGATTAAACCCAGGCCCTTAGCACTGAGCTATGTCCCCAGCCCTTTTTTATTTTTCATTTTGAGACAGGATCTTACTAAGTCCCTAAGTTACCCAGTGTGGACTCCAGTTCTCCATCCTCCTGCCTCAGTCTTGCAGAGCCCTGGGATTCCAGGCGTGCTCCACCACACTGGGCTTTGAAATGAAGTCATGGATTCCGTAGGTAGTCGCTCGGGGCCCTGCCTCTCAGAGGGACCAAGGAGTCACACAGAGGAGAGGGGGGCTCCAGGCTCTGTCAGCCCTGGTACAGAGTGCCACCTTCAAGCTCAGAAGGGGCCTGTAGGGTCTGGAGTCCAAGGTCACCAGTAAGGAGAAGCGGGCCAGGCCCCAAGCAAAACCTGGAGGGGGTCGGTGCGCAGAGAGCTGAACTGTTTGTCTAACTAATTAGCCTTGGAGGGCATGGTTAGTTACTTAACTCCCTGGGGCTTTTACATCTGCATTTCTAAATCAAGGGTGGTGGCCTAAGTGGTCTCTGTCAATTTTAACCCACTGCCCTTGAGCTGCCCCTGGAGGCAGACTCCCAAAATCCCTCCATCCTTTCTCTCAACTGCAAATGTAGCTGTCTGGGTTTCCCTTCTTCCCGTTCTTGCTGTCCGCCCTCCAGTTGATTCTTTGATAAATTAATTCATGCTAAGGTATTAATGGCTGACCGGTTTCCTAGATTTTATGCCAGAGAAATTTGCATTTTTACAAATACCACCTTGGGGATCTTTCTTCTTCTGGGTCTTACTGTCTGTCTCTGAGTTACCTGTGATCGATAAATTCATATCAATCTATGAATGGCCGGCTAGTGTAATGGGGATTTTCCCAAAGGGAAATTTGCATTTCTAAAGAAAACTTTGGGAGAGAGGGTCCTTACATCCAAAGGAAGGAGCATTCACAGTGGAGCTGCGGGCCCGCTGGAGACCCATGCCAGAACAGGCTATGAGGGTTTCCTGTGTTGCCCTTATACAAGGTCCTGATCCCCATAGGCATTGCCAAGGGCCTGGGATCTGCTCCGGGCTCCACCACTTGACCTAGTGGGTAAGTGTTGGTACCTTCAGTGTAAGTTGCCTGTAGACAGAGCAGCAAGAGGGAAGGGCATGGGGAGGGTTCATCAGATAATCCCACCCCCATTTCTCTGCTCAGGACTTTGCCTCATGTAAAGCCCTGTCCTGTCCTGGGACCATCCGAAGCCACAACTGAATTGCAAGCGTGGATCCAAAAGGCAAACTCATTAAGTTATCAAAAAGGAGCTCGACAGCCGTGATTACAAAATGAGGAAACAAATGTCCTGAACAATCTTAATGCCCCCTGTGCCAGAATCGGCTTGTGGCTTCCTACACCAGTGCCATTCTAAACCCAATGGATGAGAATCACGCATGAGCCATCTGGGACCCTGACTCACTGGTGTCAGGGTGTTTTTCAAGTCAGGCGACACTAGGCAGATACCAAAGAACCCTTCCAAGGCCCAGGTGGGAAATGATTTACGCAAGGTCATTCAGTTAGCTAAGCCAAAGAAGTAAGCCCAAATTCTCTGGCCCTCAAATCTCAGCTCCCTTCCCAGACCCCCTTACCTTCGGCCCTTCAAACCCCTGATGAGTAAGTCACCCACACACTGAGCTAAGAACCCCTGGGCTCTGAAGTCCCATCCTCAGATACTCCTGACGAGCCGTTGCATCCCACTCTCTGGTCACACACGTGTTCTGTAGACTTCTTGGAAGATTCAAAGCATTCGTGGAATCAGGGCTGGAGAAAGGTGAGCATTCTGAAAGTCCTGGTGATGCCGCCAGCCTCGAGTTTGCTGTTGGCCATCCCCCATTTTCCTTCTGCAGAAGGTGGAGGTCCGCTTGCTCTTCGGCCCTGCCCCGGAGCCCAGGGCCACGTGGAAGTGAGCTTCTGGGAGGCCCCGGGGGCGTGAGCGCAGCCCTCACCATGTCCACAGACAGGACCCTCACGAGCCCCGTGACGCTGTCTCTGCCAGTACCACTCCCACCCTTTTCAGACCCCATCTCCTTGCCTCCCGTTCTCCTTTCTCAGACCAGCATTTCTACCTGAGGACCCAAAACCCCACATCACATTTAAAAAACAAAAAAAGTAAAGGTCACCTGCTGGCTGCCAGCTTGAAACCATGCAGACAGGTTGGGGAACAGGCAGGGGGTGGCAAGGGAAGGGGACACGAGTGTTCTCTCCCCCTTTCAAGCTGAAGTCCCTGGGCTAGAGCCTGTGACTGCACTGCACTCAGAACCATCTTCGCTGTTTCTTTCAGCTCGCAATGAACAAGAGGAACAAGAGGAGAAAAGAGAGATCAAGAGGCGGTTAACTCGAAAGGTGAGAAGATCCTCCATGCAGAGGGCTGGGATGGGAGAAGGTGGGCTGCTTGCCACCCCTTTGCCTCTGCTGGCTTCGGTAGCCTTGAAGCCACATGGCCCACTGGTTCCCCACCACAGGTGTCAGAGTGCATAGCTTTTGGACCCTGCAAGACTCCCCCAGGTGAACCGGTGCTCAACATAGCATCCTGACCCACCGTCCTTTTGGCTGGTGACATTCAACCCAGCTTGATTGGTGATACCCACCAACCCCAAAACAACTTGCTGCTTTTAAAAATTCATTATAGGGATTGGGGGTGCAGTTCAGTGGTACAGCCTGGGCTTAGCACATTCAACAAACTGGTTTCAATCCCCAGCACACAGAGAAATTATTATAACCCCATCAAGAGATCAGAAGTTCATAGCAATTTAAATATAACTTGTCAATTTGCTGTGATGCTGGGAAAATGTGAATTTTTTTTTTTTTTTTTTGCTTCCTGATACTATGCCTTACCTGTTAGTGTTTAAGAACTATTTGACTTAATTATGTTACATGCAGTGTGAATTACTGGATTAGGGAAATGCCAAAAGTACCGATAAAATGAATGCAAATGTTTGTAAAGCACTCAGATAAAAGTCATAAAAGCTGGCATTTTTACATATTTTAACCCAAAAATGGATGGTTTAGCAATGCAAGGTAGACCTACATAGATCTCATGGTACATGGGTGGCCTCTTGAATAACAAATTCTTGGGTGATATTGCAAAGTTTAATTAATTGATGACACAAGAAATGACACCATCTTCTACCTGACAAATATGTTTTCAATCAACCTCCTACAGTGACCATCTTGAGAAAAGATACTCAAATCTTAAAGACAGTGAAGAGACCTGTTAAATTTTAAAAGGTTTATTAGTAGATTTTTTTTCTTAGAAATGTTATGCAAAGGAAGAAATTCAGTGATCCTAAAATATCATACAAATTATTAAGGAGATGATTTCTGTTTCTTAGCACACCCTAAAAGTATCCTAAACTTCTGGTGACAAGCCAAACGCCAACCCAGTTAAAAGAAGCAAGACAAGTAAGGGCCTGAACCATTAGGTGACTGGTTGGTGTCACTCTGGGGGACACTAGGATAAGAACTAAATGACCTAATTTCAGCCAGTTACTCTTACCCCAATCAAAATCTGTCCCTCTACACCCTAGGACCATCCAGGCTTTGGACACAGAGTATGGTTATTCCTGAGACTGAGTCGTGGGAGGAAGAGGAGAAACACATTCACTTGTCCTAAGTGTGCCTTTGAAATGATGGGCCTGTGGAAAGGAGACTAGTGATAGCCCCTCATTTCTGGCACAGAAAGGTCTAGACATTCTAAAACATATTTAAATCAGATTTTCATCAAGTTCGTGGAGTTGATTGCTGGAACTCACAAAGTCTCCAAAACTTCAAGGTTGCTTACTAATAACCATAGAAATTACTTAGACATATATTCAATTCTTATCTCTTAAAAAAAATCACATGACCTTGCAGAGAGAAACCTGCCTAGTTGCATCGATTTGGTAAAAGGATAGAGAGTCCCTTCCCACACCCATCTCCCCTAGGGTAAGTCACGGGATGGGCTGTTACCTTCATAGAGCTTCTAGTTTTTGCAGGTCCCCAAGGTAAGATACTTTCCTCTTTGCCCCCTGGTTTCCTCTCCTCTCCTTTGCTCCCAGAAAAATGGCCTTGCAACCCTAACATTTGCCCTCCCTGGGCTCTGGGAGTTAGAAATAGTGAGTCTGAGCGCTGGGTGACTGTAAGGAAAAGACTGGAGGATGGGAAGCAGCTTTCACCTCTGTTTGTATCCCAGAGATGGGGCTCCTGCCAGCCAACAGGGATTCCATATTTCACCCTGACTGTAGGCAAGTTCTTTTCTCTTGAGCCTTTATCACACCAAGACCAAATGCCAGGAATGGTGGCTACTTTTCATTTACTTACCCTCAGCCCAAAAATTTCCTCAATAAAGCTCTATTCAATTCTAATGTACTAGTGCGAAAAATAAAACCCAGTGGCTGATGCTGAGAGCAACATACCAGGCATTTTTGTCAGCCAAATTGAAAATAATCTAAAAATTACGTGCTAAAAAACATGCCTATCTTCCCTCTCTAAAAAAAGAAATAATAGCTAAATAGATGGGTGGATGCATGCACGTAGGCATAGATGGAAGGAAGAAAGGAAAGAAATCCACCTAAGGGTCAGGTTGTACAAATAGTGTAATTTGGGTCTCAATTAATTTCCTCCTTTTTTTTTTTTAGCTTTTGTTTACCCATGATACTATTGCTGCCATATAGTGACACAAATGCGACCAACCACTGCCCCCAACCCTTCTTCCATTCCAGTCCATTATTCCCGGAAAACCTGACTTTACCCTCAAAGATGATTTCCTCAGCATGAAGGAATGACCTCAGGTTGCAGGTACCCAAGGGCTGCCACTAGCCACAGGCTGAGGGTCTGTTCTCTAAGCCCCATGTGGTCGGGGGACAAGCCCACCCTCATGGAGGAGGGGCCGGCTACTGATTCCACACTCAACCTGAGACCCTAGAGGCAGCAGTCGGCCTGTCCTGGCTCACTCCCTTCTTACACATGGGCACCTTACTGACTTGGTGTCCGAGGCCCACAGAATTCAGGCACAAGTAACTGACCCTGCCCTTCAGAGCCTACATTGAGTCTCCTGTTCCCACCAGACTCTGCCATGGACAGGCTGTTGGTACCATCCAGATCACCATTTCCAGGAAGACAAATAGAAAAGTCAGGGCTTAACAACTTTTTCCAATCTTAGCACACATACAAAACAATACTCTTTGTCCAACATCCTGGGGTCAGCCCTGCTAGTCCTAAGAAACAAAAACTGGGAATTTTGAGTAGGAGTCTGTTTATCTGAGGTAAATGTGGTAAATATTCAGTGTTTTTATATCTTTTAATTATAGTGCAAACTTCCCCTGCACCCACATTTTGGTGTCAGGCTGGCCGCCATTTTGTTTACAATGACCACAGCCATAAAGCCTGTGGTTTCATGTGACAAACCAACTCTGAAGCCAAAATGTCCTGCCCTGGGAAGCCCATGGCTGCCTCAGGAGAGACTGGAGCTTCATAGAGGAGGAGCTACATGGAGTCTAGGCAAGTGGGCAGCTCCACAGTCGCTAGGCCTCTGGTCCCTGGAACTCCCCACCACTGGCCAAGAGGGAACTGCTGGCCTGTCCCACTCTTGTCCTGCTCCAGTGCCCAGTAGTCCCCACCACCACTGTGCTTTATGGCAGCAGGCATTCATCTCATGCTCTGCCAAAGTGGCAGCAAGGTGGCACCTTCCAGCACCAGCCCTGGGTGGCCGGCACGACAGTCAGCGTGGCTTGGACTCGCTTGTGTTTCTTTGTAAGCCTGAGTGCTAAGACACTGTAAGACTCTACCTTCTATTAATCCCATGAAACACAGTCTGGGGCTGGGAAGACAAATTGTTTTTAAACAACAGAACATGAATTGACAGTATCCTAAAGGGAGCGACTATGTCACTCCTGAAGAAATAAACCCCTGGCAGGAAGAGATAATAGAAATGTCAGCCTGATGTTGTTAAAGGACAGAGGAAGGATGCTTGGGGGTGGGGAGTATCAGAAGACAGCTAAATAAAGATTGCCTCATTCCTCCTACTTGCAGCCAGTCCTTCATCACAGAGCTGGCCAGCGGGCCCGGCCCTGTCTGCCTTGACATGAATGTGGCCTTGGTCTGCATTCTTCTGGCCCTGCATTTGTTAGCCGACCTTACAGTTGACCTTCTTGAGGAGACCATTAGTAATGTTTGCTCTGAAAATTCATAACATGTTCCCATCCCTGCATACCCTCGAGTTTGCATGCTCTTTGCACTTAGCTTTTTTATGTGTCTAGAAAAGATACATCCATGCACTCATAAACATAAAATGCATTACAAACCCACCTTGGGAAAGCGCTGAATTAGAGACATGGGTGTGGGCTCATAAATCCAAATGAGATGGAATCATCCTATGAGGACTGGCTCCCACAGCCACATAGAACAAGCTTCTTGTAAAGACCTAGAAACAGCAGAGCCATGCAGAAAGACAGGCTGGCTGTTGCCTCCTGTGACAGGCCTGGAGGAATCAGAAAGCTCCGGAACCCTGAAGTTCAGTTCAGGGGTTGGGGGTGCCCCAGGCCCCACCCCGCACTGTGTGACACATCAGTTTCCCCTCTGGACCTCATTTGCCATGGACGGAGCCTCATGTCCCACGCACCTCTGGTTGACTGCTTCTCTGTCCCACACTGCAGCTCAGTCAGAGGCCCACAGTGGAAGAACTCCGGGAGAGGAAGATCCTCATCCGCTTCAGTGACTACGTGGAAGTGGCTGACGCTCAGGACTATGACCGCAGGGCAGACAAGCCGTGGACCCGCCTCACCGCCGCCGACAAAGTAAGCAGAGGGGGCGAGGAGCAGGCAGGGGCTGGGTCTTCTCGGGGAGCCCACGACAGCAGCAGCAAGGCCTGAGCTGCCAACCATGTGGTGGGACACTCAGCTGGTTTCTTGTATAGGGCTGCTTCCTCAACACCTTTCCCAGGACTCCAGGGAGCCTGCAAGGAGGTCCCTGGATAGATTCTAGTCCCTGGACAAGGCACAGACAGAGGGTAGCACTGTGTGTGGTTTCCAGGAGGAGGAGGAGCAGTGTCTTAGCCCATTTTCTGTTGCTATAACAGAGTACCTGAGACTGGGTAATTTTACAAGGAAAGAAATCAATTTCATCGCATGGTTCTGGAGGTGGGAAGTCCAACATCCATCGGGCAGTAGTATATGGTGAGGGCCTTGTGCTTCCTGCTAAGATGGTGGAAGTCCAAAAGAGAAGTAGGAGCATTCGAGAGAGAAAACACCAGGGCTGGCCTTGCTCTGTAACAGCCCACTCTTTCTGGGACTAGACCAGTCCCTTGAGAAGGGCAGGAATTCCTTCTAATGACCTAGTCACCTCTTAAATCTCCCACTATCTCTCAGTGCCATTGCCCTTGGAATTAAGGTTTCAATGTATATACTTGAGGGGGACACAGCAGGGCAGGCTGAGCCCAGGGAGGCAGACCAGTGCTGCTCTAGGCCCAGAATGAGTCAAGAGCACAAGGCTCTGGACCTGTCCCAGACCTTCTGTGTTCAGGGCACTGTCCTCTGAATAAAAGCAAAAGAAGCTAAAATTGCATTTGCCTTGCTGCCCTAAGTCCCCACCGATGCCCCTGAGAAGGGAAATCTTAGAAGGTTCTAAAGGACATTTCAGGTGATTTGTTCCCCCTCCAAGGAAAGAATTCCTTTCACCTGTTTGTATAGCTTTGTGGAAGAAAATAATATTATTAGATGTGACATAAGAGGGGAGCCCCTTTCTGCCCCCTCCTCTGCATATTGACGGCTGCTCTTCACCCCAGGCTGCCATTCGGAAGGAGCTCAACGAGTTTAAAAGCACTGAAATGGAAGTCCATGAATTGAGTAGGCACTTAACGAGGTCAGTTTCCAGGGGAGTTTGTTTGTTTCCCCCTACATTTCGGCATGTACTCCCAAACAAACCTCTCTCCTGTCTCTTTCCGGGTCATAAGTGGTTTGGGGGTGTGCATGAGGGAGGAGGAGAAAGAAGGGGGACACAGAGTTCCGCTGTAACGCTGCTGAAACCGGGAAAGGAGCTCCAAGGCCAAAAGATCCAGCAAGAGCCAGACCAAAGCGCATTTTTATAAAATTGTAAGCTAAGGAGAAAAGATCATTGCCAATTTACAGCCACTAAGCAGGGGTCAAACTGGGGCAAAATACCAAACCATCCTGTTCTCTTCCACTGCTTCGTGTCATTCTGCCCAATAGCCCTGGGCCACATCACTTGGAGAAACTGAGGCACAGAGAAACTAGGGGGCTTCTCTATGTTCACATGGCTAGTTAGTGACACAGCCATTGACAGAATTCTGCTTACTCTATTTTGATGTATACGGAGAGGAACGGAACTTACCAAGCATTCAGTGCCGGGACTCAGAGACAAGTGACCGTGCTGCTGCTGGATCCAGGCTGCTGGGCCAGTGGGGTGGCCCCTGGGTGGGTCCCCTGGGGGCTGCAGATGAAACTATTGCCAAAGCAGACATGAATTCAGTGGAGCTCCCTTAAGGTTCACAGTCCCTGTCCCTGGCACCACCAGGCAGCTGAGGACGGAAAAGTGGAGGAGCTGAGTCCCACGCCTCTGGCGGTGCCTGCGCCCTGACTGAGTTCTTTGTGTCCCCAGGTTTCACCGACCTTAGCAGTGAGATTCCTCCCGAGTGCTCCGCTGTCTTCAAAACATAAGTCTAGAAGAACCATAAGTGCTGGTATTCACTCACTTCCCATTATGATGTAAATCTTCTGAACTGCCTTTTTTTTTTTTAAAGAAGAAAAATAAAAGGAAACACAATCAGGATTCTGTGCGCAAAAAGGTGATGGTGACTGGTTGGCCGTCAGATCTGCTGGCGCCACTTCTGTCCCAACACATGTCCCAGCCTCCAGCGGGCCGGGCTGAAGACCCCCGGGAGGCGGCGAGGTCCTCATCCATCCCCTCCTTCCAGGCGCAGCAGGCAAGGTGTTCATTCCCCTCCTGCGCACCCCTTCCTCATGCTGGACTGTCACCTGCATTCCGAGAAGGCAGAGGCGGTGGGTGTGGCCTGGAAGTGACTGCAGAGCTGGAGATCTGGCTGGCCTTCTGGACTCGGCCAAGTGCACCGGCTCCAAGGCAGCGTCTGTTTGGGGGTCCCCGAGGCAGGTGACGGAGGAGGAGGGTGCACCGCTTGGTTGCCCCTGCTGGTCTCAGCAACATCCACACAGAGGCCGGAAAGGAAGGGCCCTCTTCTGGGGGAGGCTGTGTGGCCCGCCAGAATAGCAGGTCGGTGGCTACGGCAGGCTGGCGCTGGATGGTCCTGTCCTCTCTGCCAAGGGTGAGGTGCGGAGGACTGTCATCCCCTCAGTGCGAATCAGTTCACCCAGGCGAGTCCCGAAAGCTGTGTCACGGGTGACACAAACGCCACTGCTAAGGAGCTCCCCTAGTGTCCATGCGCATGAGCGTGAGCACCTGTGGGGCACAGAGCGGCTGGGGCCAGAAACTCTGCTTGGCTGGTGTTTTTTGATTTTCCTGTGCACCTCGGGGCAACTGTTGTGTGGCTTCCAAGTTAATGACTTCAGAGTGTAGGGCCAGTGTGTGGTGCCAGAACCCATTCCTGGGAGGCTGGCTGTCCTGCTGCAGGGGCCAGGCCCTCCAGCACCACTCGGTGGCCTTCCATGCTCCTTTCTTTGCACTGAGAGCTTCTGTGGAGAAGCCCAGAGTTTGACACAAGCCAGGTGGGGTGCGCCTGCCCTCAGCCTTCCCTCTCCGCTTAGCCTGGGAGATTCCTCCCCCTTTCCTGATGATGCCCGGTAAGCAGAGATGTGGCTCCAACTGTCCTGTGCTCCGGGGCCCTGGGAAAGCAATGCTCTGTTGACAGACACTAGGGTTGGGGGGCAATGGGGGAAGAACACCCCAAACCTTCACAGGTACCCACCCTGAGTGGCCTGCGGCAGGGTCTCCTTTTGCTTCCTGACCTGCTCTCGGGCTCTCAGCAGACCTCTGCCTGGCCTCCTCTGCTGGTTCCGAAGTCACCAGGTCCTTCTGAGTGATGGCTTGCTCTCCACTACACATGCCCAGGGCCAAAAAGATGCCAGCCTGGCCACCCCAAAGAGTCAAGTCCCCACCCCAAACCAGGTGGGAGCAAGTTCCTCTTAGGACATGGCACCCAGCAGAGGCCCTGGAATGCTCTGCAGGCGTTGACACCACCAGGGTAGCTCTAACCCAGAGACTGAGGGATTTGGAGGGAGCCCAGGGGAGCTCCGGAGGCAGCGCCCCCAGCCACTGTCGCCTCCGTCCTGAGCAAGGACATCCAGCCCCAGGAGGACATCATCATCAGATTTTTTTTTTAACCTTTGTTGTTTTCTTTGGGTGTTTAATCTGAATGGTTCCAGCAGTCGGGAGAGGTATTCAGGGAAAACAGTTGGGATTTTAGCATGGCTGTGAATGCAGTCTTCCCGAAAGGCTTACTGACGTTTGAATGTGCAATGGTAGAACGGAAGATGTGTGCTCTTTCGTTGAACTTTCCTGGGACATCGGGGGCAGGCACGCCCGTGTGTGTTCCAGGCTGAGGTGTCTGCCTGGCCGGGCCGGGCCTCAGGACTGCGCTTCCCCTACCCCACAGCAGAGGGGCAAGCAGTGCCTGGAGCCCTGGGCTGATAGCTGGGCTCTCCAGCACCTGACTTCCCCGCTGCTGGGCTGGGTTCTGCTCTGGGCCCTCGGATTCCCTGGGGATAGAAGGCCCAAAGGGATCTCCCTGCAGCCAGCCTCCAGCCAGCTCATGTGCCCCTGCCCTGGGCATGCAGCCCACTTTGTGCATGCAGAGATGCAGGGTACTGTCCACTTCTCTTCCTTCAGGACACCCCTTTCAGAAGTCACCCTCAGAGTTGGGGGTTCGCCTCCCACACCGTGGAAGGCCTTCGGGACTGGCTAGTTCCAGCCCATTTCAAGCAGTTCTGCCATGGGTTCAGCACCCTCTGGGGTCTGCAGGATGGGGCCTCTACTGTCTCTTTCTTAAAACCTTGAGGTCTTTAGAAAGATCTCTCACATTTCTTTTTGCCGCATTGTTGTGACAACGGAAGCAACTTGTGTTACTTTCCAAGATGACAGACTGATGTTGGAGGGCAGGGAATAGATGGGCTAGATGACTTAAAAAGCATCCCTTTTTTGAAAACCCTGCAGTTTTCAAGCTGGGTTATTTTGAGTCTATACATTCCCAACTGAGTCATATATCATTGAATTAGGAGGAGAGGGAAAATTCGAAATCACGTTTCCTTCTCAAAATAAGACATTGAGGTCCGGGGATTTAGCTCAGTGGTTCCAGCGCCTGCCTCACAAGCGGAAGGTCCGGAGTTCGATTTCCAGTACCAAAAGAAAGAGAAAGACATTGATCCAGCCCCACAATATCCCCGACTCAGTAACAGAAGAGAGTGCCATTGGCCTACTTGCCTTTCCAGAGTTCCTGATAACTTCATCCCAAAGCCTTGTACAACTTGTAAAACTTTAGCCTGTCAGATTAGAGAAACCAAACAATGATGGTCAACATGATGAAAAGCTCTGAGTATATTTTCCTCCTGCTTACGAGCATGTGTTTATCTTTGCCAAATGAAAAACCATGGTGTGTTGCTTCAATGAATGGAATTTCAGGCTCTCCTTGTGCACAGCTAGTGGGCAAAGGTCACCTTCAAGGACTTTTTCTTACCATCTGTCTGTTAATCCCTAAACCGGTTGCTTTTTGCAGTTGCTTCCCGGGTGTCTGTACATAGTTTGTCATTGTATAGGATTGAGTGGGTGTGGTGACCGTCAATCCCCGCACTCCCGAGTTCTAATTTATCAGATGACGGCTGTATGAGGAAGACAGTGTACATAGAACACAAATTAAACTGGATCTCTATGGCCTAGGTTTTGTACATACAGAAACTGCATGGTATTTAAATTATTGTTTGTCTCTGATGATGTATGCAGTTTCTTTAAAAACAAACCAAAAAACAAACCAAAAAAAAAGTCTAAAAAAAAAGTCTTGACTCTTGTGTGTTTTATCATCCACCAGTAGGAGCCCCAGAAAGATTAGGTTGGGCTGAAGAAGGGGCCTGTGGGGAAGAAAGACGTCAGCTCACCAACAAAATAGCACCAATCAGGCAAGGGGAAGGGCTAGCTCGGGTATCTGGTGACATCAGGGGACAGGAAGCGTCATCGCACATAAATTAACTTTCTGGAAGACTTTTGCATACTAAGAGTTTATTCCTTAACATTCAGAATACCTAAAATGTTTGTCCAACCTTTGTCCTTGGACACTCCGGGAATAATGAATATAAATTAACCTGTGTTCAGTCACTAGGGGTCAACATAGCAATGTTAGGTTCCTGGCAGCCTGACAGCCACAACACTCTGGGGTGTCTTTGAGGTGTCACGGCCCCTAAACAAAAGCCCTAGAATATTTCACTTGAGTACAGTCATCTCTGCATCTGTGGATTCTGCTAACCATGGATCAAACATACTCAGGAAAAAATTGCATTGATACTGAACACATGCGCATTTTTTCTTTTGTCTTTCCTAAACAATACAATATGATAACTGTTGACAAGGGATTATAAGTACAGAGAGATGGTTTAAAATACACGGGAGGACGTGGGTAGGTTTTGTGCACAGGCTACCCATTTTATACAAGGGATTTGCGCCCCCTCGGATTTGGGTAGGGAGGGTGTGGTCCTGGACCCAAACCCCAAGTCTAGACAGCTGTGCTTCAGTCTCCTTTTCGACAAGCCAGAGTATTTACCCTACAAAGCAAAGACCTTTCGTGCATAACCCCTGGTACTGCCGGGTTTGGGCGGCAGTGAGGGGCTGTGTGAGGTGAGGGAAGTTGCTGGCTTAGCAGCGGGGAGGAGCTCCGGGAAGAGGAGCCTGTCAGGGGCCTGCTCACAGGCGAGCTCACACCCGTGGGGCTCACCTGGCTCTTGTTAGGCTGCAGATGCCCATGGGCCGGGCTGGGTGGGGCCTGGCCTCTGCACCTAACAAGCTCGGCCTTACGAGTCGCAGGGCTCGGGAGAACAGCCTGGACCTGGGCCTCTGAGTGACCTCGCATACTGCCTGCTTCTCTGCTGGGGGACACCGGAGTCCCATGGGTGTGACGCCAGTGTCCGAGCCCCATGCTTCCACTGTGCAGGCCTGGCCGCCGAGCAGGGGTTGCCCTGGCAGGAGAGGTGAGTGATTTCCGGAAAGGCTTCAGCTCCTGGCCTAGTGTCTCCCTCAGCCTGCCCTTTTGTCGCTTCCAAGCTCCCTGGCTTTTAATATACAGAACCTGACTGAATTTCCTAGGCACGTGAAAAGGCTAGGGAGAAAAAGCTTTACCAGGTATTGTAACACACTCCTGGGAGGCTGAGGAAGGAGGATTTCAAGTTCAAACCCAGCCTGGGCAATATAGCCACTTAGAACCTGTTTCTAAAAAACAGATTTTTTTTTTTTTTTAAGGGCTAGTCATGTAGCTCAGTGTGAAGGTCCTGGGTTCAATCCCCAGGACGGAAAAAACAAAACAAAATTTTGAGAGTGCTCCTAACAGGCTCTGCCTGGCAAGAGGGAAGGAAAATGGCCTGAAAAGGAGAAAGCTTGTGCCTACACATTTTCACCAGGCACAGGTGACCGGAGAGACTCCTAATGTATCTGCTTACACCATCCAGCAGCAGTGCCTCTGTCGCTGCACCACACCCAGCAGTTTGAGCCATGTCGCTTAATTCACGCAGACCTCAGTTTCCTCATCTAGAAAGTAGGGGCATTGAATTAAATATTAGAATGTCAGCTCAGGGGATGCAGGAAGTACCTGTGAATGCCCAACAGGGCACTGTCCCTGCCTGTGTGGTGGCCCTGCGGGGTCCTCTCCCTCCCAGTGCCTCTTCCTGAAGTCACTGTCACCAGATGAGCCAGCGGCCTCCTGCCTCCCGTCCCCTGGGCCAGGCACCCTGGGGGCATGCGGGAGCTCTTCCCAGTGATGCTGAGGCCCAGCCCCCTGCCCGGGTTCCCTTCACATTTTCACACTGTCACTTACCTGACTGTTCATCGGAGGACAAGCTAGATGCCGCAGACCCATCCTGCTCAGTCTCTGAGGGTCCCCAGGATTCCCCCACATCTCCCTTCATGTGTCCCTCTCTGCAGCTGTAGCTCAGTCCTGAACCCCAAAGCCAGGCTTCACAGTGTCACAAAGCAGCCACACAGCACAGACTTTAAGAGCATGTGGCACTGAGCCCAGAGGGCCTGGGGGCAAATCCCGGCCCCACCCCTCCTTCATCACTGTGTAAATTTGGGCAAGTTACTCAATCTCACCGTGCCTCTGTTTTCTCATCTGTAAAATGGGAATGACAGCGCCTGTTTATAGGGAGTACTGTGAGTATCAAAACGATGCATGTGAGGTGCCTGGAGCAGTGTCTGGCACAATCGGGCCTCGTTCTGTGTTGGCTCTTTCGCTTGACATCGTGTCCCAACAGCATCTCCAATTCAGTGGACCTGGACTATGATTTTGTATTTTCAAGCCCCATCTCCCATCCCCATCCTCTTTTGTTCCTTTTTCAGTGAGTGACATTACCCAGAGGTCCCTGGCCCCTTCCCACCCCCAGCAGGTCAGGAGCTCCTGCCAGTAGTCTGAGAAGTACATCTGCCCAGCCAGCCCCATTGCTCTTGCATTAAGGTCCTCAGCTCCCACTTGGGGATGGCAGCCACCTCGCCTGTGGCCTCAGCACATCCAACCCCACTGCTGGAGTCATCTGTCCGGACTCAGACCTACCCGCCCAACACCCTGGCTTGGCATCTTCAGCGGTCCCACTGTGATTCTGATAAAATCCCAACTCTGCAGCATGGCACCCATGGTGACAGTGAGGCCCTTTCCCTCTTCCCTTCCTGCATTGTCCCCTACCCAGGGGTCCCCAAGCAAGCCCTTCTGGTATACTTGCAATGGGGGCTGTTGATGTGGCCGTGTTGGAGTGGGTCACCTTGACGACCAGGGGTTACCAGGGGCTTTGGGGGCTGAGCCCCTATGGAGTTGTCCCACTAAGCTGGTCCCGGAACTCTAGTGAGGAGCTGGATATTCATGCAACAGCCCCCAAAACAGGACAAACTATAGCAGTCTCCTCTGACATCTGACACCTGACACCCCAGGTTTCTGCCTGGTCGCTTGATTCCTACTGACACCATTATGAGCAGCTTCCACACATTCACGGGCACCATGCCACACTGCTTTTCCAGTTTCACTTAACTCTGAATACCTTGGTTACTGATAACAAAACTGATCCCCCAACATCAATTTAGGCAAAGACACACCAGCGGTTAAATGGTGGTATGGCTTCCAAATGCAAGCCTGATGCCAAGACAACGTTATGCATTGCTTTGCCTCTACTTTACAGAGCTCATGCTTTCTCAGCATCCATCCGGTTACCCCAGTGCTTCTCCTCAGTGATAACACTGTCCTGTGACACCGAGGTGCAGGGATCAGGCAAGATACCCAAGTCTCTCCAAGCCTCCCGGCTCCTGCCTCTGCCCTGGAATATACTGCCCAAAGGTGGCTAAGCTGAGTCTCTACCAGCGGGGCCTCCTGCAGACACCTGACAGCCAATATTTACGATTTCCTACCAGTGAAATAATGTTGAGCCAGGCCCTGGCACTCCATGGGTCCCACCTAGAGCCATAGCAAAGGCAGGAGAGGAACAGCAAGCTGTGTAATGACAGAAGAGGAACACATCAGGCATTTAATCAATCATACTCAGAAAGGGATTCTGCCCTTAATCACAGAAGGCTTTCCATATTTCATCACAGGAAGTAACGATCACCCAATATTTCCAGGTGTGTCACCCCACATGAGGGCAGAGGGCCCTTGTTAAATGAACTAATGAATTGGCAGGAGAGACTGGAAGAGTACTGAACACCAAAAGCAGATTTTACTAATCCATCTTCCAGACTGACTAATTAAGCTGCACCCTGCACAGAGAGCTGGGATCCCAGACCCTATGTCTCTTCCTCATTCATATAAATGAGACTTCCGTGTCACATGGTCTCCTAGGCCTGGCATTTCCTGCCGGGTGGTATCATTGCTGCTGCTGTTCCTTTGATAAACACAAGAAACGGAAATGGTGACAGGGAGGGAGGAAAAGACTGTCTGCTCCTCACTGACCAAGCTAGAGTAGGACGTTGACAAGAACCCCTCTTGTCCAGTGGGGTCTGGGGTACAGGCGAGCCTGTGTTTGCAGGCCTGGATATTCAGAGCCCCCACCCAGAAGAGGGCAAGCAGACTGCAGGGGCACAGGTGGAAACAGCCTATTTTCTCAGAAAGTACTGCCCCAGTAGACCCAGTTAGGGCAAAGACTCTGATCCCACGCAGCAACCCCACGGCCAGTCCCAGCTTGGGGGAAGGAGGGGCAGCTGTGCCGCTGGGAGGACACATCTGGGCTCTCTGCTCAACCCAAGCATCCCAGAAGGCTCAGCCACCTCAC